GCTGGTGTGTCTCTTGACCAAGATACGACTGAACAATGCAATATAAAATCTTGGTTTGTATAACCATCATGGCATTTGATTCCATCTAAAATATAACAAAATTAATTAAAAATTTTATTAAAATTTAAGTAAAGCCAGACCAATTTAATTTTACGTTTAACATAATCCCTCCCTTTATTTTTTAAATTTTAGTTACAAAATATAAAACATTAATCAAACAAATTATAGTATTAGTTTTTTATAATTATTAGAATTACTATATATATTTTTTTTTAATTTGTGTTTTTTATGTCTTCTTCCCAGCTTATGATCGATTTTATGTTAAATGAAGAATTAATCTGGAGTGGCCTAATTTAGATTCATACTTTCTAATTCTTTAAGTTCATTAATTACAGGACGAAGGAAAGAATTTAAGTTTTCTGGTGCAGATGGGCCGGGAATTATAGCTCCAATTAATAGATTGTTCCGTTTTACTCTTTCTTCAGGTTAAGATTTGCATTGATAAATAAAATTATCCAACAGTCATCAGTCTTTTGTTTGAAGATGTTATAACCATCGAGTGAAGCTGTTAATGCGATATCTCTATAATCTATAAAGTGGCCTTCTTCAAATAATTCCCGGTACCGTCTGCCATCAAATATATCGCCATATGATTTATGTTGTACATATTCTTGACTCATCATATAATTGGCCCGATATTGTAATTCTAATGATCGATTAAAATTTTGGTATTGAATAATCAATCTGTCTTTTAGAGGAAAAAATGCCATCTTTTTTATTCCAACTTTTTTTTTTGAGTTTTTTTTATATCTCGACTCCCAACATGCTGGACATTCTTGTAGATTTTTTAAATTTCCAGTAAACACATAACAGCTATTTATACAACAATCAACCCAAATAGGATCAATTGACACCAGACTTGATAATTTCTTAGTGGCACGATATAAAGATACATTTTGCACACTAAAAGCATCTATAATTTTGCTATACATATCATCCGTCATATTAGAATGAGCTTTGATTTCCAGCAGTCTTAAAGCTTCTGAAAAACTGGGAGGTAATTGGATTGCAGTATTATCTAGAAGATTAACAAAGTATTAGAAATTAAGAAATATTAAAAAGATTTTAAAAGTATCTAAAATTTATTCCTTACCATCTTTGCTTAACTCATTGTTTGACACCGAATTAGAATCTGTTAACAGTTCATCATCAGATGTACTAAAATTGGGTTAGTTTGGAGGATTAAATAAAATCAAAAAAAAAATAAATAAATAAATTCAATCAGCACTCTATATTGAACATTCATTCTGTTAGGTTTTGCCTTTTACAGAACCAGCTCTAACTTAACCAAAGCGAAGCGTTAATCTGACTTACTTTGTACTACTATCTATCTGAAAATCTGATTCATAATTAGAATGTGATTCTAGATCTAAACCTTCAGTATAGCTCAGTATTTGATTGTTTAATTTTTGCTCATTATCACTTAATTCTTGTTCCATATTATTCATTTCTTGTTCCACATCACTTATTTCTTGTTCCATATTACTTATTTCTTGCTCGTTGCTTAATTCTTGTTCAGCATCACTTATT